AACATGAAACAGATCAGCAGCAACATGAAACAGATCAGCAGCAACATTGAAACAGATCAGCAGCAACATTGAAATAGATCAGCAGCAACATGATGTGATGTTTTTACAGTGATTATCCTGTTAGAAATTCATGAATCTAACAGCCTCAGGGTAGAAGGTGAGGTCAGTTGTACCTTATTGTAGCGTAACAAAAGAAGAACTTTTGAATGCTGTACTTTTTTAAAACCTGGATAAACTTGTGTGTGTAAGCTGCCTGTGAATAAACACTAAATAAGCACTAATGCACCCCTATACCATCAGAAAGGCAGGGTTTAATGTGTGAGTTCCTTTTTAGTACAAAGAATGGGGCCCATGATTTCCACTTTATAATAATAATAATAACAATAATAATAACTATTATTATTATCTTCTTTATTTCTGTTTCTACATTTATGATTAATTGAAAACAAATTGTCCAGAGGAAAAATCTCATGAATTATGTCCAACACCAACCTTTTGATGGAAAAACATCATCATTATAGTAAATAATGAATAAAAGAATAACTGAGAAGAATCAATGTACAGAAATATTTTTATTGTATAAAGGATTTACAATATTTTACATATGACACACGTTGTAAGGCAGTGAGAAAGTTCTTTGGCACAGCTTATTCATATCATCAGAATTAGTTTCCCTTTTTGGTTGATTTGTCTTTAAGAAAAAACCCAATTAATGTGATTCTTTATCTGCAAACAACATTAACATAGAGGTGAGTGTAATCAACCCGTTCAGACACAAAGAAACTTACACACACTGACCTGTTTTCCTATAGTAATCTGCTGGAATAATAAAGTCTGTATCATCGTTTGTAAGGCAACATTTTTAGGTCACAGAACACACGAAGGCACTTTCAGGTCAAAGCATATTAGGATACAGAAATGCATAAAATTGATAAATATCTTTAATACTTAAGTATGTCTTGATAAAGTGCACATCAAACACATTTGGTTTAATTCCTATTGCTCTGTTAATTCTTACATAGAGATATGTTTTGGTAGAAAGGTCTGTTGACTCAGAACGGCTTTAAAGAGTTTTCCAGTTTCTTGGTGGTTGTTTTTGGCTCTGTGCTTTTACAGTTCATTACAAAATGTTTTCAATCAGCCAGGATTGATTTTGTAGGTCCTGAATAGATGTGACTCAGTGACAGCCTTCCACAATGTCCTGCAAGATTCCAGCTCCTTCGCATCAGTTCTGTCCCATCAAACCAGGACCAGTGCTTCTGTGGAAACGGCCTCTAGGCCTCGTCTCACTTGTCGTCGCTCACGGAACTGTCTCCAGCTATGATGTTCTGGATCTCACTGATTTTCACCTCCTCCGCTGGGATGTCCACCGCGATCGGGATCTTCAGCTCCTCCAAGATCTTCTCGGCTGAGGAGCAGCGGCTGGACAGTTTGTCCATCTCATCCTCCAGTTCAGACAGGCGCTCAGCGACGCAGTGGGCTGTGAGGCGGGCCTCAGGGTCGTGGTCCCAGCACTCCTTCATGGTGGCACAAATCACTGCAATACCCTGCAGAGAAACAGTGGAAGATTTTAGCATTCATGTCTTTTTAATTAATAATTTTCACATAATTTTGCTGATTATCACCAAAAGAAGAGATGTGGACAATAAGATTTTTTTTTACCAATGTCTCTCTGTGTGTTTGTCAGCAAAATGTGTCATGAACCACTTTATAAATTTAAACAAAATGTTCAGAAAGTAATCAATGGATCAGTTGTGGGCAATTTTTTACTCCAAATGTTCCAAATCAAGATATTTAAAGCAATCGAAGGGCTGCTTGGAGAACAGGAAAGTAACCCAACATTTTTCAGTCAGGTCATCATGAGAGTTTCTTTTTTGTGCTGAAACGTTTCGCCTTCGATCCAGAAGGCTTCATCAGTCAAGGAAACACACAACAAAACTGATTCTTCCCCCAACAGCTTACTCTAAAGTGGAACAAACCAGTTCTGCTTGTGATAAGATGGTCTCTTTGGCACGCCCCCTCCTCTATTGCCGGCCCTCTTCCCTGTTGACGGTCGTGTCAAACTGATTGAAAACAACAAAGTCCATGCTCAGTAATCCAGGTATACGTTTCAGCACAAAAAAAGAAACTGTCCAGATGACCTGACTGAAAAAATGTTGGATTGTATATCTGGATTATTGAGCATGGACTTTGTTGTTAATAGGAAAGTAAATTTTCTCTAAAACAGATAATCTGGAAGACGTTTGTCAGGCTTTTTCTTGTACTATAGTTTGCATGCTTGATAAAAAATATGTGTAAAAATATGTGTAACAATACTTTTCAGGAATATATGACATACTTTCTGTAAGCTAGGTCTTGTGACAATATATTAGCTTAAATACACAATAAATGAATGAATGAAAAAACAAATAAAGGAATAAGTAAATAAATAAATAAACAAATGAATAAAGGAATAAAATAATGGTAAATGGACTGTACTTATACAGCACCTTTCTATCTTATTTCAAGATACTCAAAGCTCTTTACAACAATCTGTGCCTCATTTACCCATTCATACAGCTCTATACTAGATCTCTACAAAGATAATTGAACAAATCATTATAAAGAGACTAATCAGAGCTTTATCACATTCATACACTGATGGGACACACATCAGAGGCTGTGAGGGATTCAGTGTCTTGCCCAGGGACACTTCAGCATGTGACTGCTGGTGGATTCGAACCCCCAACTCTCGCATTGGAGGACGACTGTTCTAACCACTCAGCCACAGACGCCCCTACAATAAGTAAACCAACTAATGAATAAAGGAATAAGTACATACAAAATAAATGAATAAATGATGTAATAAATAAGTAAATAAATAAAGAAGTAAGTAACTAAATAAACATCCATCCATTTTCTTTACCCGCTTATTCCATTTTTGGGTCACGGGGGTCGCTGGTGCCCATGTCCAGCAATCACTGTGCGAGGGGCGGGGTACACCCTGGACGGGTCGCAAGTCCATCACAGGGACACATAGAGACAAACGAGACAAACAACTATTCACTCTCTCACTCACACCTAGGGACAATTTAGAGTTACCAATCAGCCTAACATGCATGTTTTTGGTCTGTGGGAGGAAACCGGAGTACCCGGAGAAAACCCATGCATGCATGGAGAGAACATGCAAACTCCACCCAGAAAGGCCCCTGGACCGGGGTTTGAACCAGGGACCTGCTCGCTGAGAGGCAGCAGCTCTACCAGTTGCGCCACCGTGCTGCCCTACTAAATAAACAAATAAACAAAATAATTAAATGAATAAATAAGTTAATAAATTCATAAATAAATACAGTAATCCCTTGCTACTTCGCGGTTCGTTTATCGCGGTTTTTCAAAATAAGATTTGACACGAAACACAAATGGCTGATTGATGGATGAGCTGCACGATCGGCGTGGAACTTTTATTAAAAAAAAATTATTTTGCAATATCGTGTGGACATCAGGGGCAGTGCCACTGGATAGGCAGACTGGGGTGGTGGTTCCCCTCTTCAAAAAGGAGGGGGGCCGGAGGGTGTGCTCCAATTACAGGGGCATCACTCTCATTAGCCTCCCAGGCAAGGTCTATTGAGATGTACAGGAGAAGCAAGTCCAATCGTTGGAAAACCTCAGATCCAGGAAGGACAATGCGGCCTGGCTGTGGAACACTGGACCAGCTCTTTACCCTCACTAGGGTCCTCGAGGGGTCATGGAAGTTTGCCCATCCAGTCTACATGTGTTTTGTGGAATTGGAGATGGCAAACAACCGTGTTCCTCAGAGTAAACTGTGTGTGTGTGTGTGTGTGTGTGGGGGGGGGGTGGGTGCTCCGTGAGTACGGGATTGGGGGTCCGTTGTTACGGGTTGTTCAATCCCTATTCAAGCGGTGTGAGAGTCAGACCTTGAAGAAGTCTCATAGCACAGATCAGTGGAATGCCCATAAATCTGGTCATTTTGGATCTGGAAAGTTCCAGCAGAACTCAGAGCCGACAAGAGAAAACATTCTGCCTGAAGAAAATCAACAATTGTGGCTTATCTGTATCTCACTCCCCCGTTTGGCTTCGGATGCAGACTGACTAGCAAATTTCTCTTGGGACATGGGTAAACTAAGGAAAAGGCTTGGTCTATCGCAACCCCCCAACTTCTGTCCAGGCTTCTCAGAACTGCCAGCTGAACATCTTATCAGGACTATGGCCTATCTGAAAGTTCTTCATGGACAAATCTCACCGCCTTGACATCAAGTGCATATGTAATGTGATATAAATGTGCTGCTGGTAGTTTTTTGATGTCTCAAATCATGTCCTGATAGGACAAGATGTGAAGAGATCGTTTTTGTAATACCACTATCCATCCTCGTGGCCTTTGACCTTTTTCTATCTAAAAACATATTCTGATAAAGAATAAGAGACCATGCTCTTGTAGCAGCAGCAACGTGCACTCCGCCCATCTTTCAGACGACTGTACAAACACAATCTGACTGTATCCTGGTACAATGATAATAAAGCTTATTCTGGTTCTAAACAAACAAACAAATAAAGGAATAAACAAGTAAATAAATAAATAATTAATGGAATAAATAAGTAAATAGATACCGCAGTAAGTAAGTAAATAAGTAAGTAAATAAATAAATAAGTTTATAATGGAATAAATAAGTAAATAAATAAATAATTAATGCAATAAATAAGTAACTAGATACAGCAGTAAGTAAGTAAATACTTAGTAAATAAATAAATAAGTTTGTAATGGAATAAACAAGTAAATAAATAAAGAAGTAAGTAAATAAGTAAGCAAATAAAAAAACAAATAAACAAAGGAATAAAGGAATAAATAAGTAAACAAATAAGTAAATAAACAAATAAATAAAGGAATAAATACAGTAAGTAAATAAATAAATAAACAAATGTTACATGTTGGCTTTTTGGAGTCTTTAATATTCATTCTAGTTCTCAAAACAAAACAACTTAAAAATAACGTTTTAACCTTTCAATTAGAAGTTTTGGATGTATTTATCTAAGCTGTTTAATGTAAAATGTCATTGATTAAAATGCAGGTGTTCATCAACCTTTATAAAAGTATTTTTCTTTTCCAAATAGAGATTGTCCAAGGGCCACTTTTGGCCCTTTAATTAATGCGATTATTACATTTTAGAGTAAACCTGATTCATGATGGCCACCTGACCAAAACGGCCCAACTCTGTCATTTCTCAACATAAAATGATTTCAGTGTAAAACTCTGAAAAGCATGACTTTTCTAGGACTTTACTTTTATTAATTCAGTTGTAAAACGTGGTACTGAGTGGACAGTTTTGAGTCTTTGGGCTAATTCTTTTCATCGGTGATACTTTATAATACATAAAAATCTACACTCCACAAAAATGTTCCTTCATCTGTGGCCAAATAAGTGCTGGTTCTTTTTGTTTCTTCTTTTCAAACATGTCAGTATGCTGTTTGGGCAATAAATCTAATCTCCTTCTTTTCTAAGGCAGAAAGAAATCTTTGAACCCGTTGGCTGAGGTCCAGTTAGTGACACGGTTGATCATCAGATTGTCGGTCTCTGATGTTGAGAAAGTATGTTGACCTGCATGTAGGCAGAGCGTGCTCAGAATGAAAGCTCAGAACGGTTCTGGAACCAGAATTCTTCAGATTCTGTACGTGTGTGAACGTGCAGGAATGTTCAGGCAGATCATGCATTAAAAACCTTCCTTTCTCAGGGTAATATTAGCTAACAGTATAATTCTGTACATGAAGATAATTGGAGTAAGATTTAAGGATTTCCTAGAAACGAGCTTGCATGCACACACGTGTGTGTGTGTCTTTGTATTTGTATTTGTTACCTTGTAAGGCCCATTGCTCCAACTTATACCACACTGTGAGGACCAACTGCTCCATATGGGGCTCAAAGCCTGGGCCCCATAAGGAGCAGTGCCGTTGGTGGGTTAGGGTTAGGTATGTTCTGGTAATGGTTAGGTTTAGGGCAAGGGTCAGGGTTAGGCTCTAGAAATGAATGAAAAATGAATGTAAGTTAATGTAAAGTTTCTGTAAAGATAGAAAGACAAACTTGTTTGTGTGTGTGTGTCTATGTCTCAGCATTACTGCCATAAAAGACTCAACACTGTCATCCACTTCTGTGCTCTGTAATCACTTTACAGCACCTTGTACAAACTCTAGTTTTGTATTTACGGCAGCGTGTCTGACCTGATGTCTGAGCCAGCTGTCGGGGATCTCAGGTCTCCCTCTGTCTCTGAGCACGCTGTCCTTCATGCTCTCCACACAGGGGTGCTCTCGTTCTTTAGACCCAAAAGCCGGCTCATAGTCCTTCACCTCTGAAAAACACCATACAACCATCGGGTCAGGTTAAGAGAAATCAGATTATCAATTCATCAAGTTCATGTGGATCAAAATATGTGCAAGAATAAGAACTGAGTTTAGAAAAAAATGAGAAAGGTGAGAATAACGAGTAAGAAGTGGCCCTTTGTGTTAACATAATAAAAAAAAAAAGTCATATTGTGGTAATTTCCCTCCAGATTTGCAGTACTGAGCTGTTATTTCCAAACAGCTTTATAGATTGGCACAAATATTGCTGACTGTGGGAAATGAAATGCTGCTCCTGCTGCCATACAAGGGAAAAGGCTTGCTCTGGAAAAGCCTTTCCAAAAAAAAAAAAAAAAAAAGAAGTTTACTTCTGCTTTCAGGCAATTAGTCATGCCAGAGTACAGAAATTACAAACTATTTTTTCAGTTCTTTGTTGAAAAAAATTAGCTGGAAAGAACAGAAAATAACAGAGTTGAAAAACAAAGTTCCACATCCAGACCTCAGAAATCAAAGTCACAACAGCTGAAGGCTGTTTTAAACACCAACAAAAAGACTCACACAACCTCACGGCTGCTGGGAAATACAACATCCTTGGTTGAAACCTTAGCTCTATTTACATATACATCACAGAGGAGAAAAATAAATATGAATACATATTAAAGAAAGCATCAAGCTTCGAGTAGTTTCAGGTGCTGCTCCGTTTAACCACCTATTGAGTGAATGCTTGGTACCAGTTTTGATCATTGCATGAATATTACTCTAGTAACAGTAATGTGTTCCTGTTTTTATTTTTGTCCCCATGACACAGCAAAACGCTAATTCATTAAATCATATATACTGGAGCGTGAATAATGGCTCAGTCACCCCAGGCACAGATAGAGCAGATCTATTGAAGCCAACGCTGCTTTGATGAAATGCACAGAAAGCGCAGCCAAGCGCATGTGTGTTTTTAAGCTAACGTGCAGATCTGGACAAGTTTGTTTGTATTATCTTGTTAAGGAAAACAACAACAACAAAACAACAACAACAACTGTGGAGACTGAAAAAACTTGATTCTGATAAACGTAATTAAAAACTTCTAAAAATCCACTTGTGAAATTATGTAACTAAATCTGAATTTTGCTTCTACAGAATTATAAAAATAAAATTCATCAAAGTTAAAGCTCTCACATACTCTGGCGTACTGTGTGTACTGTGTGTACTCTGTGAGTCGTGCGGACACTGCGCACACTGTCCGCAGACGGTTGAGACTTCATACTTGAGTGTACACCTGATGGGCTGCAGTCAGCTCTGCAGGCAAAGGGCGTTTACCTTCGGGACAAATTGAAGTTGTCGATTGGTCATTTGCTGACACGCCTACTGGATTGAGTGACAGGTCACAAAAAAAAGAGCAAGAGCTCACAGCGGCCCTGGGTAGAGGCAGCTGGTAGCCCAGGAGCAGTGGCAGTGGTGTTCTGTGTTTATATGCTGTTAATTAAAAGTTCTAAAAAATAAAAAACAAAACAGGGAGCACTGACCCTGCAGCCCACACATCACACCAGCCCACCAGGAAATCTCCAGTCTTCAAGTCTGCATTGAGTCTAATGGGGAACACGTGGACCTCCGTGGAGTGAAGTACGCCTGAGTATGTGGGAGCCTTGACTTTGACAAAAAGGATGGTCAGAGGTAGTCATAGCCTGTTTTGTGCCTTGGGCAAACAACTCTTCTGGTGCCCCCCTCCCCCGCATTACCCAACACTCCCTCGCCCCACCCCTGGGTGCCATCTATATATATATATATATATATATACTTTAGATTACAGTGTACCATCACAGATACCCAAAGTTTATTTGAATATTTTATTCAAAACCTTGCCATTGAAGAAACTAGAATGACATCATAAATACAGAGTAAAACACATAAATATTGTGTTCCATGAATTTAATATACATTACAAACACAAAAAATAAATACTGTAGAAAATAAATACAATTAAAATAAGAGATTTCTAAACTGCACCAATAGAAGAACACTTCAGAAAATCTGTGTACAACTGTACTTTGATGAAGACACACATTTCTCTGCACAACTGTCCACGAAGGTCTGGACCTTTTTTGAACAAGACAATTTACACTATTGCACTTCAAGAAACTCAAATTAAATTACACAACTGTCATGTAAAGTCTTATCTTTCTTTAAATAAGTGACCCTATTACTTTTCAAAGAAGAAATACAGATTAATCAACTGCCACATTGACCCTTCTTGCCTTCCTTGATGCAAAATCATCAACGATGTGATCCTTTGAAATGTGATCAACAGTTGTATGGTTGATACTGACACAGCAAACATCTAACAACCAAGACAAAACAAACAAACTACATATGTGTCCAGTTTGTGAAATAATCAGAATGGGAGACAAATCACTGCATCCAGTTAATGTCTATTTAACACAGTCCAAGCTACATCACAAAATCACTGCCTTTAGTAATTATAGTATCCTAATATTACTTTCCCATTCAGTAGTTTAGTTTTAAAAGAAGTTCAGTCTTTAAAATTGTAATTTCTGCTGAAAACCAGATAGTTCGTCCTGAGCAGCTAAACATAAAAAACAGTTATTGTCTTATGTTGTTAATTAAGAGCAAAGGTATCTTGCAACAGACTACAGCTTTCATGCTCTAAGAGATGACACAGCTGCAAACCTTTACCTTTTGCTCATTTCTCCTCTTCTTCTTTTCTCTTTTTCCTCAACTGGGCACCTGATGGATCTGACCTTTTCTTGTCCATCTTCCATGTGTGTAATTGGCACTCCCCCAATATGAGACAAAACAATTTAGGCCTAAACTAATTCTCCTTCCTTGGTGTGTAGATTTGTTTTTGTCGTATTTTTCTTCAGCCCTTTCACACAAACAAGCTGTGAAGTATTGGCTAAATTTGCAATAATATGCATGAAATGTTCTTTGTTTGGGCACAAGCAATTGTGTGATTTACTTAACAATTAGACACATCCCTGTCCCAGCAAGGGAGATGAGAGAATCCCCCTCTTCTTCTTTCACATCCTGTGTGTCAGACCTCAGCAGAAGCTGCACGCCCTGCACCTGGTGACTCCCCTCAAGTGAGCGACAGGAAACCAATACGTAGGGTAGACAGGCTATATAAAATAATGTTGTTTTTTCATTTGATTTTTAGAGCGAGGGCGAGGGTGTTGTACCCCTGAGTTAGGGGCAGAAAGAAACACGAGAATCATTGTCAGCAGTGCCTTCCTCATACAATGAGTTTATTACTATGAGGAAAGCTGCGTAATCCCCCTAGTGGTAGGTAAGTGATTAACACTAGTACAACAGAGTTCTAGGCTCACTAGCTGATCAGCAATACAGTGTCAGACAGAACCCAAACCTAAAATATCAGTACTGTTACTGTTTTTAACATTTACAATAATTATTACTGTTTGGTTCAACTTGTGTGTTTTTAAGGATTTGCTTGTTTTTTAAAATTAAATGATCTTACATAAGATCCTTTTATAAATCAGTGAAATTGCGTTTGAGTGCAAACTTCAGTTCAGGCACACAGTGATGTGGACATACTACATACTGTTTCAACCCATCACAGGGGCGGGGCCGGGCACTCATGCCACCCTGGGCAGCTGCCTATAATACCCATATCAGAAACCACCATTGAGGGTGGTACTCTTAACTAAATAGTTTGTTGTACAGTCTTTTGAGGCAATTGTGTCAATGTGTGGATGTAGCTCAGTGGTAGAGGGTATGCTTTGCATTTATCAGGTACAGGGTTCAATCCCTCTCATCTCTCTCTTCCAGTGGTGGCACAGAGGTTAGAGAAGGCCTGTGATCGGGAAGTTGCCGTTCAAATCCACTTACATAAAAACGCTGGTGGGAAAGGTACCAACATTTGCTTAACCTCATTTGTCCCACTCTGGGGATTTCTGTCACACCCTATAAGACTTATTCACCTGTCTACAGGTGTTCTGGCTATTCTTGCAAACAAACTGCTCCAGATGATTCACGTTAAAAGGATTCCTTCTCCAGACAGCATGTTTCAGCTCCTTCCACTGATGTTCAACAGGTTTTAGATCAGGACTCAGAAGACCACAACAGAACAGCCAAATATTTAGGCTTTGGCTTTGGGTGTTGTTATCTGTGCGTTTTGCATCATTATGTCATTGGAGGACTCATGACCTGTAACTGAGACCAAGCTTTCTGACACTGAGCAACACTTTTTGCTCCAGAATGCTTTGCTGATCTTTATCTTTCCCTGAGCAGATTCAAGAATACCCTGTGTCAGATGGAGACGCAATTTGTTAACCCACAATTTAACCTACATAATTAAATACTATATCTCCTGATGCATGCTCAATAATCCAGGTAGAAAAATCTAAAAAAAAGTTAAATCTGGTCCTCTGGACATTCAAAAAACAAAACAAAGCAAAACAACAAAAAAATGTAGAAACGTTTCGTCTTTCGGTTGAAAGACAAAATGTTTCTACATTTTTTTGTTGTTTTGCTTTGTTTTGTTTTTTTTTTTTAATGTCCAGAAGACCAGATTTAACTTTTTTTTAGATAAATACTATATCGTTGATAATAGTAATATTGCTTTCTCAAACTGCCTGCAAAATTTTAGAGTTTCAGCTGGATTTGTATAAAATGATAAAGCTTTCCCCAGACTTCATAACACAAATCTGATCCCTGTGTGTTTCTACTGCTGTTCTCTCAGATAGGAAATGAGGAAGTCGGGGCTGAATCCCCAGTCAGGAAGTTGGAGGCCCGGTATTGGGACTATGTGCAGAAAAGCTGACTCTACAAGCCTACACTTCCTGTTTTGACATATGGAACTTTCCTCATTTTTAGTACTGTTAAACAAGTCTTACCCTGGATCAGCCCTGACCACTACAGGTTATTTATTCTTCAGCTGTTATTGTCCACAGGTTTCTGCTGTTTAGATGTTGTACAGCAAGGCGGGTAAAAATACCACACATTTTCCTTGATGACATTCAGAATAAATCACAGAGCAGCTAAA